CTGGGTCAGCCCAGCTACTAAGTTTTACATTACATCTGAGAATAACATCTACAATTTATAGAAGTTTCTTGCTTGCCACATTTAAAAATAGTCTTGTAACACAAGATAGGTGCATTATAAAACTCTACAGATCTGAAGAGAAAGAATAGCTGTACAGAGTACATCTGAACAGCAGCTTCCTGAAAAGGCCTTGGTAGTAGTTATTCATACTGCTGAGGAGACTTTTTCTTCTAAGCTGATAAATAGTATGGAAGTTCAACACTGTGTTCAAAGAAACTTTATATCATTATATATTCCTGTAGTTGCCCTCATCTTCCTTAACACATTCCCTCTTATTTTAGGTTAGCTCCCTTATTGCATTCTAAATTACAAGGTATTAAAAACTGCAGTTTTTAAGACATGGATCATCTTCTCTGAATTGTTTCTGCATTATCTTTCCCACTGGAGCCCTAGCTTCACAAAAATCTATTACTACTGCTGCCATACAGACAATAACAGAACAACTAAATGCATTGCCATGAAGAGAGGGACAGAGTCTCCAGCCCTGCCAGAACACATAACTTTCAATCATTTAGAAAGCAGCAATGATATTTCAAGACTGTATGTGATTTTAAATAACTTGAAGAATCATATGACCAAAGAACATGCAGCAAACACAAGGCAGAAATCAATCTACCATTCCTCCAGGAAAAGTACTCCTTTAAAAAAAAAAAACAAAACAAAATTAAAAAACAAAACAAGCAAACAACATATTTCAGTAGCTACTGAGACCTTTATTTCCCCTCACACCAACTGTGTGTGAGCTATTTCCATTGTTCAACATAAGAATTTCCTAAGTAGGTAGCAAAGAAATCTGCTCAGGCAGCCTGTTTAAATGCATTTAGAAAGCACTGCCTCCTCTGATCTTTCAGGGAAATGTTTTTATTTCCAGGGAGTTGTAGGAGAGCAGACTGTAAGGTTAATTGTCTGATACACCGGCTGGGGATTGATGCAACTCAGTGATAGCCCTCTGTGAGCTGCAATGAG